TTTCATGCTTGTCTCAAATCTGCACAACATTTTAACCTGTGTGTAGTTCTCACAGAATTTCAATGCCATTCCATATTCAGCCTCCTGGTAGGAAACCTCAAGCTAAAGAGAATGACTGGGAAATAATTCCTGTGGTTTTCCAAAGGCATCCTGGAGGTGAATGGAGATTCTCTGGTGTTGTGGAAAGGTAAACAATAAAGGAAACATTTATAGTAAGAGATTCCAAAATTCATTTGTGGGTGAATTCCATCAACTATGGGTGTTGGCTCTAATGATAACAACAAAGCATTTGTGCAGCTCCCTAGAACTTAGAAAGTGGTCCTGTAGACACGTTTTCAGTTGAGTAATATGAAATTCTAATAATGTACCAACTGTCATTGATGTACTCTGCCAATAGGAAACCAAGTCTCCTGTCTTCAAATTATTTACCCCTAGGAATAGAGTGGGGAATTAGCAGCACCCAGCTAGAAGTGGTGTCTTCTCCTGCTTCTCTCCACAATACTGTTCCCCAGGAGTCCACAGTGTAGACAACAGACATTCTTATCCACCTATGGGTTTCTGATTCATGATGGCAGAATAAGAATTTGGAATTAAATAATTTAATTCTAATATTTTTCTGCTCCCTCCTCCCAAAGACACACACACACACACACACACACACACACATATTTTCTGGTGTACTTAAGTACTATGGATATGTTTCAATCCCTAATATTTGACTAGTAAAGAGAGTCCTGGAGTCTCTGATAGTATCTCTGGCTTCTAATGGCTACCTTTAAATCTACCTCTGCAATCTTCTCCCCCAGAAACTGGCATCTAAAAAGTGCATTTTAGAAAAGCAATATATGTACTATCACAAGTTTACTGGGGAAAAAAATTGTACCACTGAATTCCATCAAATGTGCAGTCCAAATCCAATACTGAGCTGCCCCACTGTAAGAATTTTTGCACTTTTCTTGATTAAAAGAAAGCATGGAATGAAAAATCAAGTATACAGTGATATAGTAATATAACACATCAATGACTTTCTATAAAATATTTTCAGTCTTATAATCAATGAATAGACATAGAATGATAACTATTTTTCATGTAATAACTGACCCAATCACAAGTTATACGCTTACATAAAGTTTTGATATTTTAGTCTCAGAAATCAAGCTTTGAGACAACGCCAAAGTAGTAGACAATTTTTTTAAGTGAAAAGGTGATAGCAGCTGAATTTAGTAAGTTTTCTTCTGGACGGTAGGATTGTCTGAAGGCTGAAAAATATATGAGAAACAGCTATAAACTTCTATAAAATTTGACTTGCTCTGGCTCCCCAAAATCACAGGTTTAGAATCCCTTCTCTTCTGATAAGTAGCTGTGTGGCCTTAGGCAAATTACTCTCTCTGTTGTGGTATCCTTACCTGTAAATGAGAAATCCCTCCTCAACAACCTACCTCATTGCAATGGTAGAAAACGAAAGGGAAATATTTATGTTGAAATATTGAGATAGTATTAGACTCATTCCATTTTCTATTTTGTTAACTTTAAAATGATATGTTAATTGTCAATTTTAACACAGCACTCTACTTATTATGAAATGCTTTAAGTAGTCCCATATCAGAATTTGTATCTTTAATATAAGTCACTGAATAACAAGACATCTAAGGTGTTTAATATAAAGATTTAAAATTTGGAAGTATGTTTAAGGGAATAGTATAAGTGGTGGAGTCACTACTCCTTCTACCAAAAACACTTCCCTACTTCCCTAGAGAAATCAACATTTTCAAGTATCTTTGTTCACATTATTGATCATTTACCTAGAATGTTTTCCCTCTTCTTTTCCTCCAAATACATCTCAGCTTATCCTTAAAGGCCCAGCCCTCAGTCCTCTCTTCCTTTGAATTCTAACCACATATATGTTTGTAACCACACCACTGAAACCTCTTTTCTTGTTCACAGATTCGTTGCTGTATGTTAAATGCGTCTCCCCCTTCCAGGTGTACTGAGCAGTGATGTTTCATACTGTGCACGGTGTTAGCACTCTGGTGCTGGAGTTATGTAGACACTAATCAGAATTGGCGCTTATACTCGTCATTTTATGGCTTGGAGCAAGTTATCCAACTAGTCTTATTTTCCTCATCTTTAAAATGTCAAATTTTTATTTTGAGTATTTAAAAGTATAGAATGCTTTTGGATAATCCCTGCATATAATGAGCTTTCAACAAATGATAGTTGTTATGGTTATTATTATTAATATTATTTACTTCCTCTTCCATAATAGCTAACACGGCACTCACCACATCATTTGTGATCCATAAATACCTGTTGTGTAAATAATCCCTTTATAACTGCAGCATTGAGATCAACAGTAATGGACACATTTTAAGTTCTTTGTGTTATATCATATTTTTATTCCACACATTTATGTTTGGTACTGATGATTTGGTTCACTGCATATTCAAAAACATGGAATTTCATCCTACTTTTAAAGAAATATCTCTGTATTCCAAAACACTAATCACTTTTATGGATGTTGGCATTTTGACATAGTCAAGTGTCTCAAATAACAACCTAATGAAGCCAGAAAAGAAGAAAGAACTAAAATACACATCAAGGTCCAGAGATAAAACTAATAAATAATTTCTATGAATGTGTATATTCAGAGAGGCTCTGAACATACATTTTTCCAAGTGCCAAAAGCCAGAGGTTATAATGCTCTGTTTAACCTGGAATATCAACATCCTGTAATGATCGGCTGAGATCAAGAGTAAACTGGAAACATTATCAAAATATCATATTTTAGTTCAACTAGCTTACCAAAAGTTTTAGTGGTTAAATTTTTAAAGCTTCACAGTTGTGGTACAGAAACAATAATTTCTCCTCGCCGTCAGCTCCCGGGTTGCTGCTGCAGTCAATATACTGCACTTTCACAGCAGAAAATAGATGTTCACTGTCAAATGAAATCAGCAAAGAAGCAAGATATTTAAGAGTAACTGTTATTTCCTAACACTCCATTATTATTATTTTTTGGTTCTCTGTATAATCTTTTTTAAAAAGTCCTATTAAATATGATTTATCATTGATATGGTTTTTATGTTTTTCCTTCTCATGAAATGTTGAGTGGTAGAGTTGGCATTCTACTTTTACTTCATCAGCACAATAAACCAGAAATTACAAAACAAATTCTTTGCTAGAAAGTCTTGGGCTAAATGGAATTAAATATCTAAGAATCATGTAGCATTCTTGTTTTGTTTAATGTATAAATATTGAATTTTAACCACATATACTGTGGCTAAAACATCTGCAAACATCGACATTGGTATTATAATGTAGATTAATACCTCTTATTTTGCAGTATGTTATTTAGAGTTTTATAAGCATTAGTTGGTTTAAAATATATATATTCTTCCAAACGTTATCTAGCTAAGTTATCTATGCCCTCTCTTTTAACATTCCTATTGCCAATCTATCTCTTGATAAACTTAAACATTTGAATGTTCTCAATAAATGGTTACATATGTGGAATTAACAGTTTCAGAATAATTAATTAGTGCTGCATTTGACGGTTACAATAAATACTTCATACTCCCCCAGAAAAACTGAATTTTATCGTATAAAGAACATAAAGATTTAACAGAAGTTTCAACAGAAATCCTTACCTATATTTGAAATGGATATTCAGATAATCTGATATTAAATGACAAACCCCAAAGATGGGCTTTATATGCACTGTTGACATTGTCATGATGCTTATCTATGATGATAACCAATACGATCATATGATCACTGATTTTGCAAAGTTCAGGGCTTTCATAAATGACACTTAAGTGGGTCTTTGAACTTCCAAAACTCAACGATGAAACCCAATAGCAGATTTTGGCTGAATACTGAGACCAAAGCTTTATATTCGTGTATCCTTATTAAACTTTTCTAAACACACATAGATGAACAAATATCTTTATAATGAAATAGGTGCATATTACTGAAATATAAAGTACACCACATATACCACTTTATGTCCTTTTCCACTTACCATCTTATATTTAACAGTTTATTATATATATAAAAAAAACTATTTTAGTAGTTGTGCAACATCCCAATATCTGGCTATATCATATTTTCATAACCATTTCTTTATCACTGGGCTTTCTGGATTTAAATTTTGAAATTTAAAACTTTCTATTATGTAGCACATACTACTTTAACACTTAGAAAGATAAAAATCTTTTAAAAATTATATTAACACAAAATCCATCAAATGTTTATTAAAGGACAAAATTGTACAGCTAAAGGTTGAAGCATTAATTAAAATAAATTATCAAAAAAATGCCAAAATATTTTTATATGTAAAAAACATACAGTGTGTTAAATGAGAAGAATGTAAATCAGAATTTCAATCAGTGTCCTTGAAATCATTTGTGATGGAGGAAAGAAAGGATGAGAGGAAGAAGAGAGGGATGAAGGTAGGGGAAAAAATACTGTCCCTCATTGTCAGATTTAGCATTGAGCAGAATTTCAATAAACTTTGCTGCATTGATAAACTTAAAATATATACGTCATCTATTCTAGATTCTTATTACTTTCAAACTGGTGTGAATAAAAATTTGAAATTTTCTTCCAATTTTCAATTTAAAACATAGCTTTATTTATTTTTTACTTGTCTGTGCTTAGGACTCCTTCAGAACTTCATGTTTTCAAATACAAGACATGTTATTATTGAAACGTGTGAGTATATATATACCAGTATATGTAAATGTGTAACAGATGATCGTGTCATAGATGGCTGTACATGCATGTATATATATGCATACACAGTCTAACAATGTTAATTCTTTTTTCTTTAATTTTGAATAATCTTTAGATTATAAGCATAAGAAATACTCAAAATGTCTCTTTCTAAGAATTTATACCCATGTATATTTATGTGTGTGTGTATATATATATATATAAAAAATGAGATTTGGGACCTTTAATTCATTGTTATCAACTAACTCTGTTCCAAAGTAACTGTCCCGTTGCAGCCAGTTAAGCCTACTGTGCTCTTTTCTCCATGGGGGCCTGGTGTGCGGCTGCAAACAGTGGCCTCCTCGGTAGCATATGCAGCCTGTTGCCTGTACCGCTTGCCCCAAGGGAACTTGGAGACAGCTTTTTCCAGTGGACATTCATGACTGGCATGCTGTCTCCAGTCTAGGCTCCACGCAGGTATGTGTGGTGCCTTTGGAAAGCCCCAGGGCACGGTGGCCAGGGTCCACGTTGCCCAAGTCATCATGTCCATCCATACCAAGCTGCAGAACAAGGAGCATGTGGCTAAGGCCCTCCACAGGGCCAAGTTTCAGTTCCCTGGCCACCAGAAGATCCACATCTCCAAGAAGTGGGGATTTACCAAGTTTCATGCAGATGAATTTGAAAACATGGTGGCAGAAAAGTGGCTCATCACGGACGGCTGTGGGGTCAAATACATCCCTACTTGTGGCCCCTGGACACATGGCGGACCCTGCACTCATGAGAGCTTCGGCGCTGCCCCCTCCTTACTCATGCCCACCCATAAATCCTACTTTCCTGTCAAAAAAAAAAAAAAAAGTGATTGTCCCATTTTGCCCTAGTGTTTTTTATTGATGATGTCACTGCTCCCTTATTGGTGGCTGAGTTTATCAGCATAGGCAATAAAGGAATGGAATGCTAAAGCTAGCTTATTAAATACTTGTTTAACTTTAGTAAAAGGATACTTTAGCCACCTGAGTCTGGTTTCAAACAATATTGGTGCACTCAAGCTGTACCCCTCCCCATTCCACTTCAGCCCAGGATCTTATAAGTGCCACTGCTATTTACAGGGGCATTGTGATTGTTAACTGTTGGGAGACAGAAGAGGGAGAAGCATGAGGGCAGTAGGGACCTCTCTGACCAGCCCCTTGGAGTAGGTTTTAGTCACTAGAGAAAAGGACGAGAAGCCAGTCGGACTGATTTGTGAGACAAGTTGAGGCAGGTCAGTGTGAGAACCAAGAGAGATGGAATGGTTCTGTGGGAGCTGTGAGCCCTCTGTAAGACATAGGGCACAAGCAGAGCTGATCGGGGCTCACAGCTTGGTGGAAAGGAGCATTTTCTTAGTCCCTGCATGGAATCCAGACTACTGCAGCAAACCAAGCTGTAGACCCCATACCACTGACTCAGGCACTGGCATTCTCACGGCGAGCACCTCTTTCTAATGAAAACGCGGGGGGCAGATGTGCACAAGAAGAAAGGGAGAGGGAGAAGAACATGGTAGCAGCATATGAAAACAGCAGGGATCCTTCGCTTTGAGAGTATCAAATGAGGGTGTGTATGCGTCTGCGTGTGTGTCCCAGGAATAAGTAGAGGACATTTTGGGAAAATCCAAAGATTCCTATTTGGATTTCAGGACCATTTGTAAACTTGGCTTAACAAAAATATATGTATATTTAGTGGCTGTTGCTAGATGACATTAGGGATGTTCTGCAGTCATGAGGCCAATATTTGTTGAACTCTGCTTTCTATTGAGGATCACTAGTGCTTTACTCCTTAGTCTTTTTTCTTTCTTTCCTGTTTTCATTACTTAAGGAATGCTGAATCTCTCATCAATCTTAATCTAGGATATTCCTAGTAAAGGAAAGACCATGGCATTTCTGGCATAGGTAAATAATTTCATATGATACGTGCTTTCCCAATAAAATGCACAGCTATGAAAAATAAAATTGACAATGAATTATTCTGATTTTCTCTAAAGAACCACTTAGCACATATTAGAGTCAACAATGAAGTAAGACTACCATGATCAAGAAAAGGATAAAAGAGTAATGGGGGAAAGCATAGTAGATGAGGTACTTCAGCAGCAAGGATTCAAGAGTTAGGATGGAATTTGAGGCAAAACCCAAAAAGCTTGGATTTCTGCTTCAATATCATGAGTAACAGGGAGCTGAGTTATACCACCCTTTCCCAAATACAACTAGACTCTTGATAAGATGCATTCTTAGAGGCATCTCTAGTTTCACTGGAGGTGGAAGGGATTTCCAGGGATTATCGCACCAATTGAGGATAAACAGGACAACTAACTAGAACTGAGCCTGGAAGCACAGGGAACCTGGGCTCCTAATATTGTTGGCCAAAGTGTATCTCTGAGCTACGCAGGAATATGGTCAGGATTCTGGAAGCTGGTCCCCAAAATGCGGGAGCCAGGATTTTAGTAGTGGGAAGTTAGCATGACAGCCCACGTGAAGAAGAGTCAATGTGATGGGAAGCCAGGATAGATCTATGGACAATGGTGAGGAATAAGTTTGCATGAAAACTGAGTTCCAAACCAACACCTGGACCTTTGGATCAGCAGTGACAAAGAGAGTTGATTCTGAGACTCCCAATCTAATGCAAAAGCCCCCAAAGAGGCCTGTGAAATAGGAGATAGGAATGTTCCCCAATAACATAAACAATGACAAAAGTGGGGTCAAATGCCCTTTGTAGGAAAGTATACCTAATTAGGACCTCAGGACTCCCACAGATTAATATGACATCACATCAATATATGAAACAACAGATTTAGAAAACCAAGGGCTAAAGACATTAACACTCTCAGCATTTCTTTGTATAAAATATTTAAAGACATAAAAATAAAATTGCAAAGATCAACACACTCAAGAAAATTTTCACAAATAAGAGTACAAACTTGGGGCTTCCCTGGTGGTGCAGTGGTTGAGAGTCCGCCTGCCGATGCAGGGGACAAGGGTTCGTGCCCCAGTCCGGGAAGATCCCACATGCCGCAGAGCGGCTGGGCCCGTGAGCCATGGCCGCTGAGCCTGCGCGTCTGGAGCCTGTGCTCCACATCAGGAGAGGCCACAACTGTGAGGCCCGCGTACCCCCCCCAAAAAAAAAAATAGAATACAAACTTAAAAACAATTGGCTTCTAGAAATAAAAATATATGCAATCATGGACGTTAAAAATCTCAAAAGATAGGCTGAGTGTATATCAGAGTAGACACATTTGAAAAGAGGGGTAATGAACTGCAAGGTATACCTCCTTATGTCACAAGAGGAAAAATTTATTCTCACTGGTAGAAATGTAGATTGTTCCAGCCATTTTGAAAAAGCAACGTGGCGACATCTCTTAAAATTTCAAGACAGACAAGCTGAGTTCTGAGAAAATAATTTTTAAAAATAAAGGCACCTACCTGTAAGCATATAAGTAATGAAGGGAGATGGATAGTTGATTTTTATTAATGGGTTATTTATTCTTCTTTTTACCACTGACTTCTATGACTGTTATAATTTGGAAAATTGCAAGCTAAGAATATTATTAGAGAAAAAGAATAATAATAAAAATACCTGATATTTATATAATATTTATTATATGCTAGCCACTATAAACACCTTTTATATATATAAAGTCATCTTTTCAACAATCTTATAAGGTAAGTACTAATATTACTTTGAAATATGGGTTGCTCAAGAACACATGACGATAATAGAGAGTTTGAACATAGGCAGAGAGTCTTATTCTAAAATTTTCACTTTTACCCACTCATAATCTATACACTTTTAAATACAAGCAAAATATAGGAAAAAGAGTCCTTTACAACCCTCAAAACAGATTGAAAGAAGCCTGGAATGGTAGTTAACACGTTTGTATATAAATAGCTTGTGAGATATAAAACTCCAACAGGCAGGAGAATTTGAAGACCAACATCTGTGTTACAAATATGAAAAGTCAAAGAGGCTTTCCAGAATGAATTTTCAGTTCCCAAAGTGCAGCACATCCTTGTCAAAAAGACAAAAACAAGAATTAATAACTCAGTACAAATCCCTGGAGTCCTGTTAAATTTAATCTGGCTATCTCTCCTCTTTTAGGAAACTGAGAATTAGGGAGATTGGTATTTAATAGGAGATGGGTTCCTTACAAATGTACCCACTGTCAACTTCTCCAGTTGGAAAGTTTGAAGAAAAATCACAAGCTGAATCCAACAACAATAAAAGAGAATCTCTTACAGTTCATTAGAACTGAATATTTTGTAAATAATATTTAGGCTATCTCTTCAGAATTGTAGGTGATCATGAATTAGAAGTAAGGAAATGAATAGTGAAAATCTGTGCGGACTTAAATAGTGACACCTCCCCTGAATATAGTTTAAGCATGTTTACCCTGAAATGAAATTTCAATGCAACATGAAATTTCAGATGATAATTTAATGTTTCCCTTATTAAAAATGATTACTCAGGCATGACTTCAATAAATTATCTAGGAAAAAAACCAGAGTTAAGTACCATAACTGTTTGCATGTTCTTCCATGTTAATATCATTGGGAAGAGTAACAAGCTAAAATATCAATATATTTAAAATCCAACCCACTGCTCAATTTTCCCTCTTTATAATAGTTGTAGAAGAAATTCTCTACTACATTTCATGCTAGATGTCTTAAAAAATCACCTGCTCTCACTGGGGTATACTCAGACTGCCTCATAAGGTGGACATTCCTAGGGAGATAGTCAATCGGTATCAAATTCTACTTAAATGTACATCTTTTTTTTTTTTTTTTTTTTTTTTGCAGTACGTGGGCCTCTCACTGCTGTGGCCTCTCCCGTTGCAGAGCACAGGCTCTGGACACGCAGGCTCAGCGGCCATGGCTCACGGGCCCAGCCTCTCCACAGCATGTGGGATCTTCCCGGACCGGGGCACGAACCCATGTCCCTTGCATCGGCAGGCGGACTCTCAACCACTGCGCCACCAGGGAAGCCCATCATCATTATTTTTTCAAAGTTCATTCGACAAACTGGTTTAGGTTTAGGAAACTAATGAATAGAAAAGAAATACGTTCTTTTTTTAGGAAATGAAATAATTTTTCTCTTGATTGAGAACAACCTCTCCATTTTGCTACTTAATGCAACTAATATTTAGCAATTATTAAGTTTGATAAATTTCATATAATTAGTAAGCAGCCAACAAACCACAACAGAGGAAAATATTCACTTGCCAATAATTTGGTCAACCTTTTCTGGTAGAATGTTTTGTCTCAGCTTAGGGGCTATTTAATTGTAGTCATAGAGGAGCCAGGCTCAGAATTCTGCTACACAGCAGGGAGAGAACTACCCTCAATTACAAAGAAGTTCATCCCAGTCTTTCTATGATCTGTGTTTCTATTAACCCTAAATT